TCTCCTCTTTAATCATTCAATGTTTAGCTAAGAATAGTAAAGAACAACTCCGAGAAAACCTGGCTGGTTTCAGACCTGGATGTTGATTTTCTGTCAAATATTTCCCGTTTATCAGATTCTGGAACATAGATATACTTTCCGACATCTAATCATAACTACGTTTCTTTATCACAAGGCAGCGTTTGACTCCGTAGATCTGATACTTTTTTTTGCCAGAGTCTGTCACTGAAAGGTGTACCAAGAAAGTAAATCAATCTTGTAAAGGCTCTTTATTCATACATTAATAGTTCGATCAAAGATTAAGGCTTGCTGTCATCAGAATAACCAGCTTCAAGTAGTGTTCGTCATGGCTGCCCACTATACCTCATTTAGTTGATTTCGTCATAGACACGTTATTTATCAGAAAATACTAGAAAATAGCCACCTAATAAAAAAATCAATAGTTTTCATTCATTAATATCATTTTACCAATCGAAAATGTTACTTTAATTAGTTTAGTTTAGTTCAACTTATACATACAACTTGAATATCAGTCTAAAAAATAATTAAAAAAAAAACTTTTACTGATCTCTAATCACTTAGTTACTTTTACATCTAATTGAATCATTAAAATGTATTCCCTTATCATGAAATGAATGAGGAGTTTTTTTTTCTTTTTTTTAAACTTAAGATCATTTAAGTAATTTATTATTGATTAACTATAATAATAAGAGATCTAATATCAAATCAATAAAAGAAAATGTATTAAATATTCATTATAATCAATAATGAAAATTTTTTTAATGCTTAAGCCTCTATTGTGTTGGACATAGAATGTAAAGAAACAATTTTACTAATATAGATTATAATAAAAAATGATAGTGGGGGGGGCAGGGGGAATGTTGTTGTTGTATATTGATGATGATTGTTTTATCTGTATTAAACGTTAATAGTTTAGTTTCTAAAAAAAGAGAATATTTCTGTTTTATAATGAAAAATCAACTACTAAATATTTTTAAGTACAAAATATCAATGAATAAGATAAATTTATTGATTTCTTAGTTTGTAATTGAAAACTTTCTCACTTTGCTCCTTTCAAAATAATAAACGGAATCGTCTGTAGAATACATAAAAACCGTTCACTTATGTTTTGTATTTCAATAGCTGACTTTTCAAGTTAATTTAACTCCTAATCTAAAAAAGATATCGATAATCATTTTTTTTTGTAATTATAATCATCAGCCGATCAATATTAGACTACCAGTTCAGGACCATAGTTCAGTTGAGATTAGATCAGTCCAATAGAGTTCAGGGTTATCACACTACATTCCAGAGTTATTACAAAGTTAATAAATTTACTAATCGGACCAGTTCTGGAGTCAGTTTAATATTATTCTAACTCCACCCCAGTTCAGTACCTAATCATTATTCTAGTTCGATTCTATTTACCGTTGTTGTACCCGCTAATTTTGCGTTATTCACTTAGCTACTGAGTTCACACCATGGCACGAGCAGGTGGCTATCTGAACTCAATAGCTAAGTGGATAACGCGGTGACGATTGAAGCAAACGGCTCTGAGTACGAGTCTCGGAGTGAATATCAGGTCTGAGATGCAGGTACATCCAGCTGACGAGTCTCAAATCTGATAAAAACGCGCGTCTTGGATTCCACTGTTAGCCACCATCCGCCTTTGCCTACTATGTATTTTTATTATAAACATTAATCTTATTTCCCAGTTAAAATAAAAGTAGATTGATGATTTGATAACATCAAATGAAGTCAATTATTTTCTAATTAAATCCTACAATCAATGTAAAACGTTATATCCATCTCAAATGAGAATCTTTTACTAGAAAAATTTAAAAAATTGATTTATGCCTTAGTTCTAACAAGTAGTGAACTAAAGTACGTCTGATTTTAACACATTTGCTAATGCTTCCTCGAAGAACCTACCTAACGAGTAAAATAACTTCCAGAGTATATGCATTAGTTAATCAATCTGAATATAAGCATTGGTTATTAATATAATACAAAGTAGAACAACACACATAAACGAAAAATATTGTTTTCATTTAGATCATCATCAGGTTTTACTCTGACGTACACGGATCTTTATGTCAGTCTAAGAAATATTAAACTAATGAACGCGATTTGAATCAATGATCACACTGAGATGGACTACAGATAATAAGTAAAACGTGCGAATTAATAAGAAGAAGACAAGTGGATTAGTAGTAATAAGAATAATAAAATGATGAACGTTTTAATGCAAAGTGAATTGTATTTGGATGGTAGCTTAATCAACAATAAAACAAATTGTTCTTATAAAAAGTAATTAACTGAAAAGTGTTTATACATTTTATCTGTTGTTTTATATTTAAGGTTAATTTAAAAGTAACTTCCATAAGCTAGAACATACCAACCATTTTATTACGTCAAAATGATCTCAGTTGGCACCTATTATGTACAGTCAAACAAACTTTATTATACGTGGTATTAAATACACAGATACAGTATATGGAAAAAAAAGCACAACACGCTCTCAGTAATGGTACCTCTTTACATTGATGATTGGCCGAAATGTAGTCAAGAATCGAAAATAAAGGCCTACATGGCAATTTCAAAATATCTCGAAATTACTATTATATTGATTTTCATATCACTCTAATTATTGCACCTCACATATTCAATACCGAAAATCCAATTTCCTGTGCATAAAGCTTTACTACTTCTTAATCTAAATGTCGCCAAATGACAGTCAGGAATTTATGATCAATGCATATCGCAGCTTTACAATTACAAGGGGACTTTCGACTAACTTTAAAGATACTCAAGATTTTATTCACTTAAGAATGAACAAAAAGTTTAGTTATTCTAAACAATTGTAATGAACCTTGTAGGAAATCTATTGATCAATGCACTCACTGAAACTACATATTAAGACACTTTAGATACCATACAGCTTACTTCATTGAGAATTTACGTACGCTTTATGTGAATCTAATATAGATATCTCAAGCCGTTTAATTTAACCTAGCTGTCAATAAATACGAATGATTAAATCATTATTCGGGCTAGTTATTATGAAGTCCTAGGAGAAAGTTTAATTAAATCTTCCTCTATCAATATTATTCAAATAAACCTCAATAAATGGTTGGCGGATTACTATTTTCTTTTCAAAAAATATACTAGAAATCTTTGTGGAAACATTTGTTAGGAATTACAAAAACACTAGTTAAACCATCTAGCTCAGAGAACAAAACACTAGTTACATATTACATAGATAATTGTCAACTTTACAGTTAATTACTTCCATATTTGATTTATGGTGTATTATAACTATATACATAGAACCATGAATATTTCCCTCCTTTTAATAAAAATAACCACTTAGTGAAAGTGAGTAAAAAATATGTCGTAAGAACCATATGAATGAATCAGTTAATCCTTATCTTCTCAACTCTTAAGCATCCTAAACTTGTCATGTACGAGGAATTGTTGAGGTTATAGTCCTATTTTTTTAAAAAATACAATTACTCAACACACGTCAGCTTCATTTTAGATGTAAATTTACCATGATTTTGACGATAACAGTAAGGAGAAACTAATCGGACCAAATTTCAAATCGTCTTACATTCTTCAATTGCAGTTAAAATACTAGAATTAGTTAATATAAAAGATTTCACTCAATTTTAAACACGGGACCTAGAAGTAAAAGTTCATTTCTTTTACTTAAATCAAACTAAAATTCATCATTTAGCATTTATACAAAGTTGAAATAAGTGTTATAAGTTGTGAAACCATAATAACATAAAATTAACGATAATATACATAGTTATGGACGTAAAATATCCAGCTACCTAATAAGATTTTTATATATTTAATACATATGAAGAAAATTTCAAGTGCATATTTACTTATCTTAAAAGCTATAAAGCTATCAGGTACATCTGTTTCCTTTCATTTATGAGAGGTACTTTTAAACAAATGAATATACTTAGGGAAAAAATTATTTTTAACAGCATATTTGTATATTTTTCATTCTATATACAAACAACAAAGAAAAATATTAAACATTTAACACTGATTATCAGGACTTTTGTTTCTACCTACTTATTGAATCTTCAAGATATCACACTAATCATAATAACGTACTTCCCATTTCATCATCAATTAAAGCATCGTGTGTTTCAGATTTCTTTTCCCAAGAGGGTGATGATTTTTCCTTCTGCTTAGTAGTTTCCTGATTTTCTGTATTGAGGACTGGAACTGTAAGGCAAACAAAATATCTCTTTTCAGAACATAAATGAACCCCCCACTGTCCAGAACTATAATCAACAGATGTGCATCTTTGTTCACCAATTCGCATGGAAGTTATTTCTGGATTAGGTAAGCGAATAAGACTGAAATCACTTTTGCTACCGTCAACCCAGTGCAAAACATAAATGGGTCTTGTAAACTCATTCATTGTTTTAGTAATTTTACCTCCTATCCAAAATGAATGCTTTTCTTGTTTGGCTACCCACTTTACCAAAGCTAGATTTTCTGGATATGAATGAACGGATGCCAGAGACGTTCGTAGGACCATTCCATCCTTATAACTTTGTGATGGATTGGAGAACAGGTGCTGACGGTCTTGTTTATCTTTTGAATCATCCATGTTATTTGTATCAGATAGCCCTCCAACAGATTTACAGTAATGTTCCGCTGCAGAGAAATTAAGTTTTGCATCTACATCACCATGGACAAATGTAAAAATGCGAGGTCCAAGAGCGCCTTGACTTTTTTCCAAAGCATAAGCTGCATTATAGGAAAGAACAAACTGCACAACAAGTAGTAACATAACTTGTGGGTATTCAGCATATGAGTTGACGCAAGTGATGAATACAACTCAACTCAGTATTTTACAGCCATCACTAAATTCACTATTCTAATTTTTTTTGAATATATATTATTCTGTAAAATGACTAATCACTTATTTTCTGAAGTGACCTTAACTTTATTCATACTAAATCATGACCTTCAGATTTAGTAGTGGCTTAATATTATACAACGCTACAAAAAATGGGATCTAGTAACAGCACACTTGGTAATGTGTCCAAGGATGAGCCACTACAAAGATTTGTAGGGACTGATGGAATACCACCTAACAGTGAATATTGGAGGGAATTTTTGTCTTCTGTTGGCTCAACAACAAAAAGCAGGTGTGTGAATTTGATTCTCAGCTCACCGAGCTCTTGATACAAGCTCTCTCATAGACTTTGAAAAAGCAAATAAAAGTTTACTAAAGGATTTGAAGAAAAATAACTTTCACTCTCGTAACATTCCCAATCTCACGCAATTTCTTATATCAAAGATGTCAGAATTAATAGCCTCACCAGACATGTAGATTTATTTAACAATTATCCTGTATTTTTAGAATCGAAGACACAGTATTAATTGCTCAAAATGGACTACTTATTCTACGTTTATCGGTGAAGTACTTGATGGAGCACTGCTCTGAAGCTAGATTTTTCTCTCACTTCTCTGTTAATTCTCCTGAAGGTATAATTATCTTCAGTCAAACAGTGTTTTCCCTAGGTCCTCATTGTTTGTCTGTAATTGAATGTTTGTTCCCTGTACTTTTCAGGCTCATAACTAATCTGCCTATCCAGTAAGTTCAATTTTACCATTCATTGTTTTCAGAGACAATACTTACTTGTTGCATTGCGAAGCTCATTTGTTGTGTATAGTGTTACTCTCTAGACAAATGTATAAAGAACTATCGGCTCCTCTACCACAAGTCTACGTTTCTGTTGTCTGGGGAAAGTGGTGAGTTTATTATAGACTATTCATATGGTTTTTGTAATTCATCTCATTACCACTAAATGTTATCTCTTGCCACATTTATCCGTATCTGCTCTCCCTTCGGCGACACGGATAGTTGGTCCGGTTTCTTCGAAAAGCGCCTAGCAAGAAAGCTGACTTCGCTTATTCTACTTGATAACCTTAGTGCGCTAACCATTACCAACCTTAATTTATTACGTTGTCGCATATGAAAGTTCTCGTAACCTAAGATACCATCAGTCGTAATGAGTTGAAATCCACTCGGCTCATTAGCGTTTAGTTCAGCTCAAGATAGAAAAGTAGGATTGAAAAGTGACTGTTTGGTGCTCTAACCGGTTGCTCTGGTTACCAGAAAGGGCATCAGCCTCGTGACTTCCGAAGGAAATCGGTTTCCATCATGAGGCGTCCTCTCTTCTAAATGAAGACCTTCTGACTCCCATGGCAGAGTTTAATTGGTTTGAATTACTTTTTTCTGGTTAGCGTTTTTTAGCGAGCTAGTTTTCTACGGGATGGGGTCGCTAACCCTATTTCCAACCCTCCTCCTTTATTCGGGCTCGGGACCAACATTAGCTCTAAAGGGGCTCCAGGTGGAGTTAAGATTCCGCCTTGCAGTAACATTTTTACTCTCCTTTCCCGAAGCAGTTACTTTAAGTGTCTATCTCTTTTATTATGTATCTTTACAGGAACGCAAGTATTGCATTTCAAAACCAGATCAACTACTTTTTATCGTTAAGCCTGATTGTTTGTTAGTCGTTTCCTTCTTTTTTTGCATTCCAGTGCATCTCTTGCTCCTGCCTTAGTTTACCGATTATTGTCTAACTTTTCTGAAAATCGTCCTGTCCCAACACTTTTACATGGCTTTGAACAATATAGTTTAATATGGCGTGCGGCGTCGTCTATTGCAGGTATGTCTAATCTACTTTACTGCATATATATCTCCCTGGTGGACTATCTTTTCGAAGTTACTTGTTGAGGTACACCAGATTTCATGCTTAGTATTTCCGGATTTAGGGTCATAAATCTGTTCAATGTAGTCACTTGGTAATGAATAATCGTTGTTAAGATTTGTGTTTACCTAGTTGGATTGTGTACAGATTTTGTGCAGATAGGGCTGGCCATGTCCGACTGCGTCCAAGCTATTGACTTCCGTCATACTTCGTAGGTTGTTCAAAACCCGAGAAATATTGACTCGCGAGGAGCAGGCTGGTTTTCGTTCTGGCCGAGGATGTATTGATCATATCTTTACCCTCCGCCAAATGTTAGAACACCGTCATACTTATCAAAGGCCAAAAGTTATAGTGTTTCTTGACATCAGGGCTGCCTTCGATTCGTTGGACAGGGCTGTTCTCTGGGATCGTCTATTGAAGAAGGGTGTGCCTGAGAAGTTGATTAACATCTTAAAGGCCCTATATACAAACACCTCAGGTAGAGTGACGGCATACAACCTTCTCTCTCCATCGTTCCATTCGAGCAGTGTGGCTAGATAGGGTTGCCCAGTCTCACCATTCCTCTTCAACTTTGCCATCGATGATATTCTGAAAACAGCTCTGATGAATGTAAGTAATGGTGGTGTGGATCTGTTGCCTGGAGAAAAACTTCTCGACCTTGAGTATGTGGACGATGTTGTCTTACTGTGTGATAATGCCCGAGGCATGCAATCCGCACTTGTTCAGTTAGCAATCAGTGTCCGTAGATATGGTATGTGCTTTGCACCTTCGAAGTGCAAAGTACTTCTACAAGACTGGCAGGATTCTAATCCTGTACTCACCCTGGATGGTGAGCAGATAGAAGTAGTCGAGAAGTTGGTGTATCTAGGTAGCTGCATAAGTGCTGGTGGGGGTGTGAGTAATGAGATCAATTCACGTATATTGAAAGCCAGAGCGGCTTATGCCAATCTGGGCTATCTTTGGCACCTTCGTGATGTCAGTCTGGCTGTAAAAGGTCGGGTCTACAACGCGTCGATGAGAACAGTTTTGCTCTATGCTTGTGAAACGTGGCCTCTTCGAGTTGAGGACGTTAGACGACTCTGTGTTTGATCACCGTTGTCTCCTAAGGATTGCTGACATTCAGTGGCAACACCATGTCAGTAATGCAGAGGTTTGTCATCGTGTGTTCGTGTGCAGAGACGATAATGCAATTGGTGTCACTATCTTGAAACACCGACTTCGGTGGCTTTGACATATTCTACGAATGTCGTCCCAGAGAATTCATCCTCGTGCATTATTTGCAGTCGCTGGGACTGGTTGGAAGAAGCGGAGAGGTGGTCAGTGTATGACATGGTGTCGTGGTATGAAAGAAAGCTGTTGCAAATGGCTGGCTTGTGTTGGTCCTTCACGACTCCTTGGTTGCGGTCTGAGAGATGGTGCTACACAGTGGCTCGAGAGGTTATCAGATATGTCTCAGAATAGAAGCCAGTGACGATCCTGCTGTAACCTTCTTTACTTTCTTCATAAAAAGTGGTTGTAACTTCCTTAACTACAAGTATTATTTTTGGTCGTACCTATTATTATTATTATTATTATTATTATTATTATTATTATTATTATTATTATTATTATTATTATTACACTACCATACACTAAACCGTGGTCGTTATTGTTCTCTTATTTTCCTTCTCTCTTATACGTACCGTACACCTCTTTCTCTTCCCATTCTCATTGTTATTGCTGGCACATATATATATCTGGTACCAATATTTATGTGTTCAAATAAATAATAAATAAATAAAAGCTGACAAGCTTCTGATGAAATAAGCGATGTTTAGGCAATGGTTGTCGGACCCAAATATATTCGGCTGACTTTATTCACCCATCGAGTTAGTAGCAGTAGTTGTGTTTAATAATGTACCATAGTAAATTGTGCGCTATTATTGAAATTCATCTGTCTTCTTAATTTTAGGTAGTTTAGTTACAATCGTCACATTTGGTGGTTACTTTAGTCGCACTGCCAATAGTTCAACAAAATCAGATATACAGAACAGTCCGCATGTTGCAGTTGTTGAACCAGTAAAAAATAATGTTTCCACAGATCTTTTAACATCAGAATCAACTATCAAATCAAACGAACAGTGTCATCTATTGTCAAATGTCAGCTCACTACTTTTATTGATACTTACTACTCAGGCTGGATCTATTGAGAAGACTGTATCAACTTATTCAGAAAATAATAATAAAGATTCGAATTCTTTAGGCCGAAATCCATATCGAACAACACTTTTTTCTTTACAAGATGAAGTTACTCAAAAAAACCAAGTTGATTCAATAATGGATACAACTCACGTGCTGCCAAAGTCAAGTTAGTCTTAAGCATTAAGGCTTTTGTGCACAAGTACACTCACTATTATTCCTTTTTATAATTATAAATAACACTAATGCTTGATTTTAATATTTATCAACACTTTAACTTCTACGAAGGTGAATTTAATGTTAATCGATAGATGAAAAGAAATATAAAAGCCTTCGGTTAAGAACTTTATGTATTGATTTCAGGTTATATAGCCAAAGTAATCTGGTACGAATGCGTTAAAGTACTGATTCGCTGTTCTGATTAAAGTTAAAGAGAGCGATTTCGATAATAAACTGTAGGCTGTGCATATGCAGCTGCACTATTATGAATATTTTTATGTTCGAATAAGTATTTTATTTTAAGTTTTATGTGATATCAGAGGTTTTTAAGATATTGTTACTGGATTGTTTTTCAAAGTAATTAAAGTGTTAGCCAAGCTGGAAGGAACCAGACAACTAATGCTTATTACAACTTGAATGATAATAATAATAATAATAATAATAATAATAATAATAGAAGTCAGAGTCTTTGGTGCACCCTGATAAAATCACAAAATTCAACTGGAATAGCTCTTGATCTCTTTGCGGTTTCAATTACTCTGCAACTGAAGATCATTAACGTGTTCATGTTACTGTCTATTCCACAGTGAGTAACTTCGTATATCTCATTAGACTTACTATCGACATATATTCAAATTATCAGTATAAAGTTGTGCAGATCGTTGAGTTTAGATTCGTATCATGTGTGGATCAATGTTAGACCACCATTGAAAACCTAGAAGCAATGGACAGTCGTTTCGTTCTCATATTGGACTCCTCGGCAGTGCGCATTCACGATCCCGCACGTAGAATGAGAACCCAGGACCTTCGATCTCGCGCATGAACGCTTGAACACTAGATTGAGCCGGCATCCAATAGTGTTAATGTCTAGCGTCAACCAATCCACGAAATCGCGCAACCGTTCATCATTGTCTTCAGTGAGTAACAGCCTCAAAACATACAGTTGAACTCCATTGGTCACGGCTTCTCACTAGCAGGAAACCCATCGTAAAGCCGGTCACTATTGATCACATGATTCATATTACTTTAAGAAATTGAGATAAAAGTTAAGGTATGGAAAATAAATTTCAAATGTATTAAATATTCTCATCGAAACATTAAAACGATAAGTTGAGGAAAGAAATATTTCTTTCAATTGGTTCTTCGTTAGGGCTCTGCTCTAATATATGGGTTTTACAAATTAGTGGAAAATGGATACTAATTATATTTCAAGCGAGCAAATTCAACTAAACAAACTTGTACAATGCAAGTTTTCCGTGAGGTGTAGTGGAAGAAGAATTAATGGTTGACTCGGTTGTATGTATACACAAAATAACCGAAGGACAATATAGACAAAAGTACATATGGTAAAATGTTACGATCAATTGTATATGAACGTATACTATCCAATAAAGTTACTATTACAAATGCAACGGTCACATGTTTATATCTGTCCACACAACTGCTTGTTTTACTGTCATATAAATTCATGATAAGATTGTAGATTTGAATAAATATTTATTGCATACCAAGTATGTTGAGCGGCTTCATTCGTCTTGTATATGTTATTTGTACTTCAGCCCCTCGATTACAGCCAGGTGGTGCTACATTAAATGGACATTTAAACATAGTTACTCAATCATCATCACCACAAATAAATTTCACTGCTATCTGTGATACAGCAGCTTCGACATTGTCTCAGGATAGTAGCCCACTGTTATTGTACCTTTTAGTTCATCGAAATACAAACTTTCATTCGTTCATTATGCAAGAGCGGGGTTATGAGAAAGTGGTAAGAAGTCATTTTTTATATCGTTTGTGCTACAAAACACCAACATAACGATTAATTCTGTTTCATATGATATTGTTAGTTTCAAAGTGACTTACATTATCATTGCGATTGTAAGTGGAACAAAATTATTTGTAAAACATTACATGTAATTAGTTTATTTGGAACCATTATGTAATAAATATCATATCTAGCAGACAACTATATGAGGTTAGATGTTATTGGGATGAATTGTGGAGTATTCATACTCTCATAGCATATACTCTACCACCGTATGGTAGTTTGGATGTTGTTGGAACCAAAGTTTTTATAGGAATTATTTATACTACAAAACATCTTAAAACATATACTCATACGCAATTCTATAGTACTGTTTCTAAAATAACTATTAAGTGATACGTCGTTTATCAACCATGGAGTTGTGGCTTAGTGGTTAAGGTGTTCAACTTGCTACCACTAAGTCTCAGGCTCCAACGCCCTCTTCACCTACTTCGGCTTGGTTGATCGGGAAATATCAGTAGTTTCCATATCTAAGGTCTGGCTCATACTCCAGTACTTGGTGAATGATTTAGTTCCATTATGGCCTATATGTTGATGCTTAGACGAATGCTAGGATTAACATTAGTTTTGTTAGCTTTTTGATACGGTATACTATCGCTCATATCGGCAGGTAACTCGATTCAATTAATGTACTATTTCTTCTGTCCCAAACACCTTAGTTATTGATAACTTACTGACCAGCAAACATGTCCCTTATTCAACTAGATTAAATTTAGCAAGTTTTATTATTTGAACAGATATCGTATGATTAAGCTAGCCATCGAACCACCTGTCCTTTCAAATTAAGAAGTTTCAGCACTGATGGACTGGTTCGAAAGGATATACACCCGACCGTTGTTGCTACCTTGACGTGTGATCTATTTGGGTCCAACGTTGGGACGAATTAGGGGGTCGCCATGTTAAAAGATGTTTTTCCTTATGCTTAAAGTTAGTATTTGCAAGGAACAGGCGGTTATCTGAGCATAGCTGCAACAGACGGTCGCCATTATCTGTTCTTTGAGCTACGTTGCTATAAGATCCACCCAGGTGTCTTTCCCTATCGCTTAGTTTACCTACTTGAGCACTAAAGTCACCGGCCACTATTACTACATCCGAGCGCCTAGCTTTTAGGAGGAGGTCGGAGAGCTTTCTGTAAAACTCACCTTTTACATCATCTGTGCTGCAGTCAGTGGGAGAATAGGCAACTTGGACCGATGCATAAATGTGGCTGGTCCTACGTTGTAGCTGACTGAATGAAATGATATACTAATAAATAATATTCTCAATAATTTGAATGTGTTTTTTTTTGTCAGTTATGAAAATAAAATCTTGTTCTATGTACATTACCATTTCCTTTGTTAATTTATTTTCAGCTTCCACCATTATTAAATATTCTATATAAATCCCAATCACATAATTCACATCTTGTCTACATGGCATTAATTCTGTTGTTGATATTTACGGAAAATGAACAATTTGGACGCGATATTCACACATCAGTGAGTTATTTATTTAAAACACAATTATATAGACGAAGAATATTCTTTTCAATAGTTTCTCATCAGGTTCTTGTTATAACTTGTGGCCTGAGTGCCCTGTTAATGTATAACGTAACGATACCGCCAATTAGACAGCAGTAAATTATCGACCGGACCAATGACGCGTAAGACCCGTGCGACCAGTCTAGAGTCCTTATTGGTCCTGCTTTCCGCCTAGCCCAGCCAGTTATGTCCAGAACACCAGTCTCAGCCTCTGCAATATAAATCGTTTATTTCAAACATACTGGGTTTATATACCAATCAGACAGATCACATCGTACCATAAAATGGAAAATAACATTTGTACAATATTTTGCCAAATGTGGCTGTGAAGGTGGGAGGCAGTGACTTATAGACAGGGCATAATTCAAGAATGGAAAAACGTATAATAACAGTTTATAGGTTAAAATAAAGTTTATGATAAGAGAGACATGAATATGAATAGTTTAGTTAATTAACAATTATACGATAAAAGTATACGCATTTTATCGGTTCACAAATGGATCCCAAAAATTACCATTTATTAGGCTTATCTACAATTATAAATCCAAATTAATAATCCATTAAATTGGCCAGATTTAAGGCAGCGTATGCCATTTAAAATTGTAATATGTTAATCAAGAATTGTTGTTTGTCATACAAAATCAAATCAAATCGTTACTTATATATTTATTTAAATAAATAAACATTGGTACAAGGAGGGACCAAATAGATATGAGTCACATGAATCATTCGATTTATGTGAGTGTGTATTTACACTGTCGTGTAATATTTTCCATCTCCGTTTCTAATTTGATTGGTTGTTCATTTTATGTACAAAAATATTGGACTCACGTTTTTTATTTCGTATAATTGAATTATCGGCCAAGGTGTGCTGGAAGCTACTGAATCAACATATTAAAAGGTCTGTAGGAAGTTTTCTAAATACGTATTTTAAGGTGATCCAACTGCTTGGTTATTTTTTTCGAACTAGAGGCACTTTGGACCCAGGCTCCTGAGCTTCACTTTTTTATTAATTTCTCAGCAGATCTACATCTGAAATATTTGGCTTTCAAATATTGGTTAGTGAGTTCGACCGTTCTCCATGCGCTTGAACGCTTAACCACTGAGCCTGCATCCCACGGTGTTAATGTCTATCTTCAACCAATCCACATAAATCTGTGCTTGACAAATGAATTCCATTGTATCTACATGATTATTTATCATTCTAAATTACTTATTTTTGTGTGTTGTGGTGGAAAAGATCCTCAAAAGCCGTATTCGGAATTTTTGTGTTAAAATTGTTGTAAGTGCTCAAAACAAGTGATTAGTTAGTTTTAGGTACCAATACCATGGTGTAAATTAAACACTAGGTAGAGTATTAATAATAAAATAATGATATATTTTTGGTACCGCTATGAGTAAAAATTCGGGTTTCTGACGTTTAGCAACGTAGTTTAAGTTGCTTTTTCAGAGATTAAGTAAACAAACAACCGAAATAAAATTGGTCAGTTGTATACTTATTCTCCCATATAATAAAACCACCTAAGAAATTGTGTTTCGTTTTTGTATAGTACTCCAAACTAGACCAGCGGCCTGCTTGAGTATCTGAACAACTCGTTCCTGCAATCTAGATATTTCAACAAGTTGTCTGTTTCTTTGTTCATTTTAACACATCATTATGCCTAATAGTCTCATAACCTATTCAGGTGCGTTTGTGAAAAGTTTAACATTTCACTGTACAAGTTACATTATGGTCGCTGGCAATTTGCAGAGAAAAGAATTTACATTATTCTGCTAACTTCCAACTGGTGACCATTCAATATTTGTCGCCAGGATCGACCAAGAAGTAAGAAACGAAAACTTGCTGAAGTACTTTGTGCAGATAATTATGTATTGTACCAAAAGTATAATATTGAATAAAGCTAATAATAATAAAATTAGAAATATACACGGTGACCACGTGTCATAATTGTGTTACGGCCTACTGACTATTATGGTCTTTTGAAAGATGACTGGGAGGGGTCAAACCATGATGTTTCATCAATCATTGACTATGGTCTCCTTTTGTTTGTTCAAAATGCTACCCATATTCTGACGTTTTTCCGTTCTATGCGTACACTTTTGTATTAATTATTAAATGTTATTTTCTCTTCTTGCTGTTATCTACTGTTTCGTCAACTATCCAACTTCTCTTTTTAAGGATATTAAATGGGTTCAGTGGTCAACAAGTCGTCGACTTTCGAATGTTTCATATGGAAGCTTAACTGTATTAGTTCTTTGTCGTACCATTCAATACCATTTGAACCAATTGAAGGTAAGATACATTCTTTTTTCGGAATTTCTTTGCATCTGTTTCATTTATGAGCTTTCTGAAGTCCGTCGCTGTCAAAAATGCATAATTACTTCCTTAGCTTTATATAATAATTGAATAGAAATTCAATTTGTAGAATATTTATTCAGTGTCATTTATCATGTTTAGTTCACCAGTTGGATTAATTTTCTCAGGAATTAGTGTTTTTTTTTATGGTCGAATCAGGTAGCTTCACATTTAAGTACATAGGCATCTTTCATCGATACTAAACTGCTACATCAGAACGTTTGTTTTAAGTGGCTTAATTTCTTCCTTATTTCCCCTTGGGTTCTTTGTTGCATTATATTATCTGTGCACTCCGTACACTCGTACTTGTTTCATATTGAGCATTCTTAGTATGTGCTTAATTAATGAATAAGTAAATTATCTATGATACTCTTTAGATTAAACCTTTAAACTACGAATTCAAAAGCAATACAAAACAAATGAGTATAATCTCTGGTATTTTCGCTGAATATCTTGTCACATCATGTCTTCGTCTGTATTGTACCAATTATGATTTTTAATTGTATAATAGGATTGTACGTTTTTGACGTATTGTAGGCATAACTTCGATTTCTAACTAGTCTCATCATCCATCGTTTTCATAATTAGCAGTTGAAACTATTTACATGACTTCGTATTGTGTTATGATATTTATTGACTACCTTTTTCTTTGTGTACATGATTATCTTTTTAGATGGTAATCAAGAGGTTATTTTAAAATTTATTTTTATCTGTTTGATATGAATTAAAATTTTAAAAAACTTCAACATTCAACTGTAAACTATAAGTAAATGTTATTCTTTATTAATTAGGACAAATACCTTCATGTTAATATTTTGGCAACTCTAGCAAACTTATCCCCCCGAATTACTAAACTTCATCCTCATGCATGTGATACACTAGTTGGGTAAGTAATTTTACATAATCATTTTTTTTACACCTTGGATGTAGTTATTAATTTTTAAAAAAATTACAATTATTCAGATTGTTTACCTAATTATTAGTTTTCATGAAACATACATAGTACCTTTGAATCTTATCACGATTTCACTTTTCTCTCAAATAATATCTGTCGTTATTATCGTAACTATAAATTGCTTTATTAATACATAATACGATATAATATAACTACTCACTACACTTTCTTATGTGTCCTCTAAACAATTAATTGCCAAATATTTTCATAGTTTAAAATCTTAGTTGGACTAACATTGAGAATTAGGGACTATTGTGATGTCGTTTATTCGTAATATGGGATTCATCGACAGTGCAGATCCAGGATTCTGCTTTAGAAAATCGAATCCAGGACCTTCAATTTCACACACGAATGCCTAATCTCTTAACCACTAGACTCTCGTCAATTCACGATATTATGTGATCATCTTCCATTGCGTATGCCAGCGACCATACCACGTTGAAAGCACCACTTCTCGTCCGATCACCTCAGTTAAGCAACGTTGAGCCCGGTCAGTACTTGCATGGGTGACCGGCTGAGAATACCGGGTGTCTCAGGCTTTTAACACCCCCAACACACACACGCCCCCAAATGCCCTGGTACGGCCGAGAGTGGGGAGAGTCCACTCTCTCTCTCGAAATACTTTCACATGTCCACACGTATATAGCCTCTGCCAGGGAAGTTCTACTCACTGCCTTCTCGCGGCGGGGGTGTTTACGAAAATAAGAAGATGAAAAGCGAATGTCCGGCGCTTTAACCGGATTCCAAACCAATGGTGCACATGGGCTCCAGTATCCTGCGGGAACAAATGGCGTATGAACCAATCGTTAGTCACCGGCTTAAATGGTACTGCATCTCGTTACGATGCTCCACTGCCTTGTGGGTTAGACTTTCAGGTCGAAGGCTCGGGGTGTGGTCCCCTAAGAAAACCACCTGTTTCGGTTTGGGCACCCGGGCAGTATCACAGCCCCCATACATATCGAATGAGATTTGTGTTCCGCATATGTATTTGGTGCTTCCTTGTACCAATATCTATGTGTTAAAATAAATAAATAAATAATTCCATTGCGTATTGTGGATCACTGTCTCGCGACCGTTATTGTTACCTTGACGTGGTGGTCGGGCCTGTCTATCGTGATGAAGCAACCAAGCTATACTGGCTGGAACAACCGTTCCTCAAGGTCCTACCATGTCAGACAGGTCGGTTGAAGAGTGCTAAGACTAAAAGCAACAAACCTAAGGTCCGAAGGTGAAGTCGTACTGCTGACTGTGTAGAGGTGTGACGGCAGTAAGGTGTTTCCTTTAGACAACCAGCGTAACAGCGATGCTGCCTTCCTACACGGAGGAGTGGGGTTAGAAAAGGTCGACTTTGAAAATGCGCACCTCGTCTTATCCCACGGATATCCGTCTCCGAAGGTAACGTCTCAACAAGTACAGAGCTAACACAAAAATCACCCATATAAAGGTCGTGTGTGACCGACCTCAAGCATTAGTCCCTTGGGCACTGTGGTAACGCTCTCAAGTCACTAGGACCACCTCTAATCGAATTTCCTTTTCAGGTACCTCCAGAAGAACCCTTCCACGGTGTGGGCAACCGGGAAGTAATAATCGCCCTCAAACCTCTAACAGCACTCAAGACCACTGTATTCATAATCAACTTCCCTCTTCAATTCCTATTAGTGCTTTGAAGAAAGTGTGTAATTTTCGTAGGTAAAGTCTCTTTAGGTTTCATACGGATTCGCTCATCTTTTTTGTGTTTTTTGCCGTACTTTTAAGGACCTCATTACTTGAGATGGTGGAGAAGATTTGTAGCTCAGGTGGATGATTTTGGTGGAGTTTTGTTCTCTGAGCTGGATGGTTTGGTCGTGGAGCTTTCATCGTTCTTCTGAACGACATCATCAGCACAAACTTCAGATAGAAGTGAAGTGTTCGAATTTCCCCATATGTGTTTCACAGCTTGTTCTGTGCACCTCGATGTTGATTGGTTCTTGTTGACCTTAAATTTATCATTGTTTACTTCTTTGTTTTGGTTGTGTCTCCCATTGGTTTGATTTTTGTTCCTATATTTATGCATGATTTTCCTGATTGGTTGATAAATTGGATTGATTTCAATATGTTTGTTGATTGCTGATTGACCTGAGTGCCAAGCTTCTAAAAATTCTCTGGTGTTTTTGGAGTTTCCTCTGTCTAAGATTTCTACATTTTCCCAATCGAATGAATGTCCGTAGTTATCCACGTGTATTGATATAAGTGAAGAGATATCATGGCGTTTGACTGCTAATTGATGTTCATGTAGGCGTAGGTGGAGGGGGCGTCCGCTTTGTCCGATGTAGTGTTTGTCGCAGTTGGTACAATTTATTTTGTAGATGATGTTTGATTTGTTTTCCTTTGTTATTTCATCTTTTGGTTTGCATAGGATTGATTGTAATGATTTTGTTGGTTTGTGTGCCACACCTATCCCGAAGGTTTTCAGCAGTCTCGTTGCGGTTTCTGATATTCCTTGTATGTACGGTAGGGTGATCCTTTTGTTGATTTTTGTGCTTGATTTGGGTTCTGATGCTGTGTGCCGTTGGTGCTTTTTGATGAAGTTGATTGGGTAGCCGTTCTTTTGAAATATGTCCTTCAGGTGTTTCTCTTCATTTTTTCGTGCTGCCAGTGTGCTGCAGTGTGTCCTCGCCCTCTTGAACAATGTGTGTACGCAGTTGATTTTGTGAGCTCTTGGGTTGTTGCTGTTGTAATTGAGGATTTGATCTGTGTGGGTCGGTTTCCTATATACTTGCGTCTCCAGTTTTCCTGTATCGGTTCTAGTGATCAATATATCCAAGAATGCTAGTTGGTTGTTTGACTCCTGTTCCATTGTAAACTTGATGTCGTTGAAAACGTTGTTGATCAGTTTGTATGTGTTTTCCAGTTCATCCTTTTTGACGATGACAAAGGTGTCGTCTACGTAGCGAATCCAAACTTTTGGCTTGATCACTGGTAATATCGTGGCTTCTAGTCTTTGCATCACTGCTTCTGCTATCAGTCCTGATATTGGTGATCCCATTGGTGTCCCTTTTGTTTGTTCGTAGATTTTGTTGTTGAATTGAAAATATGTTGTTAGGCATAAATCGATGAGTTCCAGTAGACTTTTAATTTGAAGCGTCGTGTATTTGGTGAGATTTGTGTCGTTGTTGAGTAGCAGGGATATAGTTTCTTTTGCTAGTTGTGGTTCAATTGAGGTGAACAGTGCTGTTACGTCGAAGGATATCATGAGTTCGTCGTTGTTGATTTGAATATCCTTAATTTGGTCCAGGAATTGTGTTGGGGATTTGATGGAGTGTTTGGCTGAATCTACTAGATGTCTCAGTATTCGTGAAATTTCTTTTGACAAATTGTATGTTGGCGTTCCGGGGAGTGCTACTATTGGACGTAGTGGAATGTTTGGTTTGTGTATTTTGGGTCTACCGTAGAATCGAGGGAGTACTGGTCCACTGGATTTCATTCTCCATTGGTCTTGTTTTGTTATTTCTCCTGCTTTGACTAGCTTGTTTAAAGTCTTTGAGATTTGATTGTCTAATTTTTTGACGGGATTTGTGTCCATCAGTTTGTATGTGCTCCTATCTTCGAGTAGTTCTTCGGCTTTGTTGATGTATTCTTCTTTGTCCATGATTACTGTGGTGCGTCCCTTGTCCGCTGGTATTATGATAATATCTTTTCTATTTCTGAGTTCTTTCAAGGCCTTTTGTTCTTGTGGAGTCAGTTGGTTGTTTTCTTTCACCTGTTGAGTTATCGGTACTAACGTTTGCCTTATTTCCTGTTGTGTTTCTTCACTGATTCCGGAAGTCTTGAGTGATGACTCTAGTGCTGCGAAGAACTGTAGCTTTGAGGCGTCGCTTGTATTGTAGTTTAATCCTTTTTGGAGCAGGTGTTCTTCCGTATTTGTTAGTGGTTGTTTTGACAGATTGATCACGCAGTTGTTTGTGTTTTCTTCCATGGGTGGTTTTGAGATCTTGATTAGTTTTTTCTTTAAGGTGTTTCTTCTTTGTTCTCTATGTCGTTTGCATGATATCTCGATGGCTGTTGTCACGATTTCCAAATGTTCTGATGTGAGCATCCTTTGTAGCTTTATCTTTTGGTCTTCTATGATGTGTTGGTATTTGCAGATCCTGTAGTGTGCATCCGTTATCATTAGGTGTACCATTTTTCTTCCACTTTGCTCGGCAATTCTCCATCCTAATGGGCAGTTGATTGGAGGTCTATATCTTACACTTGTTGGTAGAACATGCTGGCGAAGACACTCATGGAGAAAATATAGTTGTTCTCGAGTGGAAGCCTGCCTTTTGGCGAAATTCTCCCATTTTCGAACAACGAGAAGCGTATTACGCTCATATGATTTTGAGATGGTGGAGAAGATTTGTAGCTCAGGTGGATGATTTTGGTGGAGTTTTGTTCTCTGAGCTGGATGGTTTGGTCGTGGAGCTTTCATCGTTCTTCTGAACGACATCATCAGCACAAACTTCAGATAGAAGTGAAGTGTTCGAATTTCCCCATATGTGTTTCACAGCTTGTTCTGTGCACCTCGATGTTGATTGGTTCTTGTTGACCTTAAATTTATCATTGTTTACTTCTTTGTTTTGGTTGTGTCTCCCATTGGTTTGATTTTTGTTCCTATATTTATGCATGATTTTCCTGATTGGTTGATAAATTGGATTGATTTCAATATGTTTGTTGATTGCTGATTGACCTGAGTGCCAAGCTTCTAAAAATTCTCTGGTGTTTTTGGAGTTTCCTCTGTCTAAGATTTCTACATTTTCCCAATCGAATGAATGTCCGTAGTTATCCACGTGTATTGATATAAGTGAAGAGATATCATGGCGTTTGACTGCTAATTGATGTTCATGTAGGCGTAGGTGGAGGGGGCGTCCGCTTTGTCCGATGTAGTGTTTGTCGCAGTTGGTACAATTTATTTTGTAGATGATGTTTGATTTGTTTTCCTTTGTTATTTCATCTTTTGGTTTGCATAGGATTGATTGTAATGATTTTGTTGGTTTGTGTGCTACACCTATCCCGAAGGTTTTCAGCAGTCTCGTTGCGGTTTCTGATATTCCTTGTATGTACGGTAGGGTGATCCTTTTGTTGATTTTTGTGCTTGATTTGGGTTCTGATGCTGTGTGCCGTTGGTGCTTTTTGATGAAGTTGATTGGGTAGCCGTTCTTTTGAAATATGTCCTTCAGGTGTTTCTCTTCATTTTTTCGTGCTGCCAGTGTGCTGCAGTGTGTCCTCGCCCTCTTGAACAATGTGTGTACGCAGTTGATTTTGTGAGCTCTTGGGTTGTTGCTGTTGTAATTGAGGATTTGATCTGTGTGGGTCGGTTTCCTATATACTTGCGTCTCCAGTTTTCCTGTATCGGTTCTAGTGATCAATATATCCAAGAATGCTAGTTGGTTGTTTGACTCCTGTTCCATTGTAAACTTGATGTCGTTGAAAACGTTGTTGATCAGTTTGTATGTGTTTTCCAGTTCATCCTTTTTGACGATGACAAAGGTGTCGTCTACGTAGCGAATCCAAACTTTTGGCTTGATCACTGGTAATATCGTGGCTTCTAGTCTTTGCATCACTGCTTCTGCTATCAGTCCTGATATTGGTGATCCCATTGGTGTCCCTTTTGTTTGTTCGTAGATTTTGTTGTTGAATTGAAAATATGTTGTTAGGCATAAATCGATGAGTTCCAGTAGACTTTTAATTTGAAGCGTCGTGTATTTGGTGAGATTTGTGTCGTTGTTGAGTAGCAGGGATATAGTTTCTTTTGCTAGTTGTGGTTCAATTGAGGTGAACAGTGCTGTTACGTCGAAGGATATCATGAGTTCGTCGTTGTTGATTTGAATATCCTTAATTTGGTCCAGGAATTGTGTTGGGGATTTGATGGAGTGTTTGGCTGAATCTACTAGATGTCTCAGTATTCGTGAAATTTCTTTTGACAAATTGTATGTTGGCGTTCCGGGGAGTGCTACTATTGGACGTAGTGGAATGTTTGGTTTGTGTATTTTGGGTCTACCGTAGAATCGAGGGAGTACTGGTCCACTGGATTTCATTCTCCATTGGTCTTGTTTTGTTATTTCTCCTGCTTTGACTAGCTTGTTTAAAGTCTTTGAGATTTGATTGTCTAATTTTTTGACGGGATTTGTGTCCATCAGTTTGTATGTGCTCCTATCTTCGAGTAGTTCTTCGGCTTTGTTGATGTATTCTTCTTTGTCCATGATTACTGTGGTGCGTCCCTTGTCCGCTGGTATTATGATAATATCCTTTCTATTTCTGAGTTCTTTCAAGGCCTTTTGTTCTTGTGGAGTCAGTTGGTTGTTTTCTTTCACCTGTTGAGTTATCGGTACTAACGTTTGCCTTATTTCCTGTTGTGTTTCTTCACTGATTCCGGAAGTCTTGAGTGATGACTCTAGTGCTGCGAAGAACTGTAGCTTTGAGGCGTCGCTTGTATTGTAGTTTAATCCTTTTTGGAGCAGGTGTTCTTCCGTATTTGTTAGTGGTTGTTTTGACAGATTGATCACGCAGTTGTTTGTGTTTTCTTCCATGGGTGGTTTTGAGATCTTGATTAGTTTTTTCTTTAAGGTGTTTCTTCTTTGTTCTCTATGTCGTTTGCATGATATCTCGATGGCTGTTGTCACGATTTCCAAATGTTCTGATGTGAGCATCCTTTGTAGCTTTATCTTTTGGTCTTCTATGATGTGTTGGTATTTGCAGATCCTTCGGGATAGGTGTGGCACACAAACCAACAAAATCATTACAATCAATCCTATGCAAACCAAAAGATGAAATAACAAAGGAAAACAAATCAAACATCATCTACAAAATAAATTGTACCAACTGCGACAAACACTACATCGGACAAAGCGGACGCCCCCTCCACCTACGCCTACATGAACATCAATTAGCAGTCAAACGCCATGATATCTCTTCACTTATATCAATACACGTGGATAACTACGGACATTCATTCGATTGGGAAAATGTAGAAATCTTAGACAGAGGAAACTCCAAAAACACCAGAGAATTTTTAGAAGCTTGGCACTCAGGTCAATCAGCAATCAACAAACATATTGAAATCAATCCAATTTATCAACCAATCAGGAAAATCATGCATAAATATAGGAACAAAAATCAAACCAATGGGAGACACAACCAAAACAAAGAAGTAAACAATGATAAATTTAAGGTCAACAAGAACCAATCAACATCGAGGTGCACAGAACAAGCTGTGAAACACATATGGGGAAATTCGAACACTTCACTTCTATCTGAAGTTTGTGCTGATGATGTCGTTCAGAAGAACGATGAAAGCTCCACGACCAAACCATCCAGCTCAGAGAATAAAACTCCACCAAGACCTCATTACTCAATAGCTCCTTTTTTAATCCGTTCTTCGTTGGTCTCTCTCAATAAATATTCACAGAAATGTTTGTTTTTTGGATAAGCTGAAGTCAGAGGAAAAAAAGAATTCAATATTTATTATATTTGAATCATATCTAAGAGATGCTCATTATTCTTTTATTATAGTTATCAGCACTTTGATCACTTCACAAATTAACATATTTCAAAGCATTCAGAAAAATACATTAACATTAAGAATAAATTTACTAGGCTATAATGATTTTACTGGTTAGTAAATCGGGGTTACTGCGGAAATCTGTTGTAACGTGTGGACTGCAGGTTTTGATAAGCAGCGTATATATCGATCGGATTAGTGACATGTAAACACGTAATGAACGACCTAGAGTCCCGATTGGCCCTGCTTCCCTGTCTAGCCCAGCCAGTTGAGTCCAGAACGCAAGTCACAGCCTCTCAGATATGAATCACTGTATTTCAGACATACTCTGTTTATATACCAACCAAACAAACCACATCGTACCACAAAATAGAAAACAACATTTACACAATATTTAACAAGTGAAACAAATATCGACCAATAGGAAATGTCCATTTAACGTCCAAGGACACCATTCGACTTTACACGATAATTACTGGTATATTCCTCTGCATACCTAACAAAATCAATCAAGATAATGTGCTACGTGAAATTTGCAAGGAATGTTGCATTACATGTATGACTTTCATCATTTCCAACGCTGGAAATTAAACCCATTATTTCTTCTATATCAGTAGATGGTTATTCTATTGACTTCTAAATTCAATGATGTCTTCTTGTTTGTATATTTTCAGTTTACTGCAATTATTGATCAAGCGTCATAATAAAACGGTGGACATTTTGCGTAAAATGTCTGATGACAACCAATCACAATCGGCTGCCGAAATCACTAAACTTCTATCAAATACATCACTTATATCATCTGATACACAGGAAGAAATGGTTCGTTTTTGTTGTTTTATGATATGAAAATATGGTTAATGAGAGTATCGTTCAGGTGGTCGTGGCACCGTATATTATGTCACATTCGTTGATTTCATAAACTTTTGATCCTTTCTGTTGTGACTTTATGTCCGGCTAGTTACCACATGATTTATCCGCTGATGAAAATACGACTTATACAGTCTTAGCACGGTGCCAAAGCAATGACGTTCAACCGGTATGAGCAGCCTAGCGTCCTTATTGGTTCTATGTTCGCCTAGCCCGTCCAGTTGAGTCCAGAACACCAATACCAGCTTCTAGTATGCGAATCGAATCGAATCATTTATTTCAGACATACTGGGTCTATATATCAAACAAACAAACCGCAACGCACCATAAAATAAGAAATAACATTTGTACACAATAAGGCCAAAAAGTGGTTGTGAACGTGGGAGGAAGTAGTCAATAAACTGAACATAGCTTAAGAACAGTAAACCGTACAAAAATAACTTATAGAACAAAATAAAGCTAATGATAAGAGGAATATAAATATACATAATCTAGTTACTGAATATTTATACCATGAGAATATATAAATAATATTAGTCCATTAATAGGTCTCAAACGTTACTCGTAATGTAATCTTCACTAGGATATAACACTTTCTATGTTTACTCATTATTTTCATGTAATTATCTTACGAGTAGTAGTGTTATAACCTTCGCTTCGTATAGCGCTTTGTTACTGAACGTGCGTAGAAGATACTAGTTTCTATGTGATGATGCACATTTTAACATTTCGCACATATAATTTTATTCAACATATTCGTAGTTTTGCTTAGTTACAGAACAGGAATAATCATCTACTAATATCCTTATCAGTAGTAAGTTGAAATATCAGTTTCGCTGAATGTCTGACCTTGTTAAGTCGTTTAGAATTCAAAGAATAAACGTTTGTATCTTCTTAAAGTACAAATAAAGCTAATCAAATTTCTTCACAAAATTACTGATTTCGTATTTGTGTTTTAAAATGAATTTCATCATTTAACCTCCTGTATTTATAGTTCAACGTGTGTAATGAAGGTCTTTGTTTAATTCCTTACAGCAAAACAATTAATATTAACTTAACGTTCATTTGAAAATTACCTATCACAGACAGGTTTTGTCTATCTCTAATACTTTTTCAGTTGTTACCCTCGTTACGATAACCTACGACCAATATCTGTTTTTTTTTTGTAGGTTCAAGAATTAGCCTTACTTGAAGAAGTAATTCGAATGCTGTTAGAAATTATTAATTCAATTCTTACACATACGATGGTGTCGAATCCAGATTTAATTTATTCTCTTTTGTATAAAAGGGATTCATTTACATCACTTCGTTCACATCCATCGTTTCAGGTTAGAGTTGTTCATGTAATTGAATTTTCCATTACCTTTATCTTTAATCATTTTCAGGTAATATAGTAGTGATTGTTACGAAAGAACTACTCAAAAAACACTTACATAAACCCATCCCAAAAAATCAAAATGTGACAAATGCTCACTGTTCTAGTCAACTTTAATTTCTTCAATAATCTGACCATCAAATTTGCTTATTAGAACAAATTTGTTTCGACGCTGAAATTAAGCGATAGATTTACTTCTGCGATATTTCAATACTGGCAACACAATTTTTCACAATACGTAATTATGTAATTAATTTAAAAGCAGATGCATAGACCGTTTTTCTTTGTAACTATAAACATAGAATTGGAACTAGTGTGCCTGGGATAGTAGGTTGTAAAAGGAATAACCTACTCCTGTTATCCCTCATGGAGGAGCATAGGCCGCTCTCCAGCATTCTCCATACAACTATGTCCTGGGCAACCCTTCCCAGTTGCTATTCATCCTTTTCATGTCTGTTTCGAATTCTCGACGTAGTGTGTTCTTTGGTCTTCCTCTTTTCAGTTTCCATTTAGGGTTCCAAGTTAGCACATTTCTAGTGATACGGTTTGATGATTTCCATGATGTATGTCATATTCATTTCCATCGTCTTTTCCTAATTTCCTCTTCAGATGGGAGCTGGTTTCTTCTTTCCCACAATAGGTTGTTGCTGATGGTATCCGGCCAACAGATATTGAGTATCTTGCTTAGACAATTTTTATAAATACTTGTAGATGTTTGATGATGGCTGTAGTAGTTCTCCACGTTTCAGCTTCGTACAGTAGGACTGACTGTCTTGACATTCGTATTGAAGATTCAGACTTTAAAATTGGTTGGCAGTTGTTTTGAGTTCTATATGTTCCTCAATTGTAGGAATACTACCTCTGCTTCTCCAAACCTTGTCCTTACGTCTGCATCAGATCCGCGCTGTTCATCGATGGTGCTGACCAGATACGTGAAAGTTTCCACGTGTTCCAGAGCTTCTCCTTCAAGAATGATTGAGTTGAATAGCAACTGGGAAGGATTTTCCAGGACAGGGGTGGATGAAAAATACTGATGGCCGGCCTATACTCTAACACAAGGTATAACGGGCGTAAATAATTAGGTAATGTTGCATAGGACTGACTAACGTTTTCACTGTATTAAAACTCATATGATTAGTATCTGAATATTGCATTTTATCTAAACAAGCACCTACCTCGTTATCAGTAGTAGCATGGCCAATCAAGTCCCTCTATTCCAACTTCACTAATGATTATTATTCTTTGATTTAATGGTCTAGATATTAATTACTTTTCATCTTTCTAATGATAAACTCGCTTATATCCGTGTTTCTTATTGATAAAAAGATTCAAGTATCTGTACTAGTTGTTTAATTCCAATATAACATCATAATATGTATTTCATAATTTTGAAATTTCAGAATGTGGTACAAAACATTGATATTGTTTTAACTCATTTTTCAAAGAAAATTGAATTAGAATTAGGACCTCAACCAACTCAACCACAAGCTGTTATGCAAGTGATTATAAAACATGTTGGTAATACTCAAAGAAGTTGTAATCTGAAAGTAATTTAACAAATATTATCGATTATCCTTGTAAAATTTATAATTTTTCACGTTTTTTAATCTTTGTCTACTTTAAATAATAACAAAATTGATGACAGGAAGTGAAAAGTAGAAACAGATGGTTAACAATAAACGAAATTCTGGATTTTTATACAATTCACTGTTACCAATGAAAATTGCTTTTTCTGATCACAACTAGTAGTTGCCTACGTAATTCATTGAGTACTTGTTGTAAATCTGTCGTAACTATACAACTATCTCATTTTTAAGAACTTTCGTACAAATTTAAATGATTAGTTTCACAATATTTAGGCGCTTAGTTGACGTAAGACATTAAGGATAAAGAACATATTTGTAAAATGTCAGCTCAAACTACAGTTGAGCGTCGACGGTGTGTTTATTTAATGAGAAAATGGTTATAAGATAGAAAATAGTATTAACGGTGGTTTGTTTATGAATTCTATTTACAGTATTTAAAGCGAATTTCTTGTATGAACTATATATTTGCGTGTTAGCATTAAGTACTTGTAGTATGTGTTCAGAATAAAATCTCGTGTTTCAGAAATAGACTGTCGATTATATTCGTTTTTTGATTCTGTGGAACTTTAAATCCTTTCATCCACCCAGATCCCTTAATAAATGTATACAGAGCAAGAATAACAAGGTTTAAAAAATAAAATGAATTCATTCTCTTTCACGGTTTTTCATCAGTTACATGCAACCTAAAACTAAGATTAATAATGTAATTATTAGCATACTTTATTAGCATAATTTAGTATGTGAAATTTAAGCAAATGTTCGGTATGTTACTAAAATCATTTGACCCAAAGTGTATGAAGAAACATAGTTAAGATCAACGTGTATCACTATACTGTAAAGTAATAATGGAGAGTAGAACAAATGTTATAGTTCTTAATAGTCATAATCAAGATAATATATGTTGTGAAAGTGATGAAATTAGTGTCTAGATAATTAAACAACAGGATAAAATAAACAAGTATGTGAATATCAGTAAGGTTGTGTGATAGATGAATTTCAGAAGACGAAGGAATATTAAAGATAAAAAGCTTGTGGACAGGGTTGAATAAACGAACTTCATACAAGTTATAAGATAAGTATCCAATCATAATGGCAGGGAAAGGTTAATCACCATTTCCTGTTGTATATATAGATCAGGTCGAAAACGTTTGAAAGCGATTGCCTCAGCCAAACGGAATAAAATCGCTGTTTTCTATTCGTTTATTATATTAGATCCATTACCCACATTCACGTCATGTCCACTATATCCATTAGGTGTCTGGCTATTTCACTTGTAAAGATTTTACTCCCTTTCAGCCATAGGTTCCTGGGAATGTGTTCAGAAAACCTATTAAAGGCCCTTCTCTCTGCCCTTCTTATATACTTACTACGGCAGGTACATGTAAATTCATAAATGTAATTGGATATGACATCGGGAGGATATAGATGTATTTTTGAATGGTGTAAAAACACTTGGTATTGTATAGTGAAACTAATTAAGCAGCAGGAAGACTTCTTTTCAGTGCCGCCGCATCTTTTATCCCCAGTATATAGGTGAGAATTGGAATTGGTTTCACTTGATAATTAGTGATTCATATGCCATAAAACTTGGTTATATCAGTTGTTGTCCACTAACTACTCACATCATAGACTTATATTAACATATAAAGAAAAGTGTAAGTCACCCTCATAAAGTAATGTCAGTTAGTTTCATGTTTTCCTCCCCTAGCTTACACATGTTCTTTGTATTCTACTTTTTGTACCCCAGAAATTCCCAGATCTGAAATTTAAATATGTAGAAGAAGAATCCCCAGATGAATTTTTCATACCATACGTTTGGTCTGTTGTACGACGCCAGTCAGGCATACATTTTAAGTCTGAATCGCTATTGTTATTCTCGGCTGCTCCTCAAAACATTCAAAATACAACTGAAAACGACGACATTAGTGAAGACAATGATAGTGTTATGAATAATGGCGAATCAAATCATGAGCAAGTACTGGTATAACCATGTCAAACAAGTTTTCTGAACAACCCTCGTTCTATGAGTGCTTGCTGCTAATTCTGTTGTTAAATGTGTTCAGTGTCATGATTTTGACGATAATGAACTTTTATGAAATTTCCTCTTTCAGCTGTCTGTGATCAATATCATGGTTTCGTTTGAATTTAGTTCTTTTTTTCTTTTCTTCACTTTCAATTTTGTTTCTAGTTACACTTATTGTCTTTTTTTACAAATTTTTCATATTTTATTAAAATAGAAAGTTTTTCCATAGGAATTAATGTCTGATTTCTACCTTGTGTTGGTTATATCATTAAAAAAGGAAAGGTGAATCTGCTCACTTTCTATTAATTAATTACTACTTATTTATATGAGATCGTAATGCATTTACTTTGCCTTAGAGTCAACACAGTCACGGTGAGAACGTTTCCTTGGGAAAATTGAGCCGTTTGATTATTATCATGACTATTCCTCATTACGTTTTGTTCATTAGTGAATTGGGATGTTTACGGACCGTAATATTGGACTGTCTATCTATATGTTCTGTTCTATGCCAAGAATGATGAAAGTTACAAATAGTTTATGATAAGGACAAGTTGAACAAAGAAATATTTTTCTTCAACTAGTTCCTCATCAGGACTCCACACCAATATTTATGTTTTTTTCAAATGAGTAGGAAGTCAGTACCAATTAGTTGGTGATCAGTCAACTTAACAATATAGTAATCAGTTAGCTACACAACGTTTAGAAAATTAAAACTATAGTGACTTTTCATAATCAGCTGATTATTACAAGTAGTTACATAAGAGTAGGAATAGGAATTGAAACTGGGTTTTTTTTTCACTGTGAAATTAATGATAAGTAATTAGTACGACGGATGGAGTGGAAGTTAGATAACAAGATTATTAAACTCATTTGTAAAACTTATATTAACGAAGAGCTAGTTGGAAAGAAATATTTCTTTGTTCAGCTTGTCTTTTCAGTGTATCATTGGAAATATTTAATGAAATAATTTGTTCACAGAGATTATGTAAATAAATAAGGTAATATGAGTAGAGTCAAGTCAGGTGACTAAAATGAAATCACAAATAAATCTCAATTAACCAATCAAGATTTTAAGATATTATTCCATTATATATGTATCGGAAGTTGCATAGTGGTTGCCTTATCTATGAGGTAGTTTTGATAGTCTATTTACTATACTTCAGTGCACGTTCGTTAGAATTTATCAACTTTACACTTGAACAAATTAC